CTTTACCGCATCCCTCCAGCGCATGCCTCTCCAGCTCCTCCTCTCCGCTCCCGCCCTCCACTCCTCCTCCCCTCCCCACTCCCCCGGGGTCCACGCTCGGCAGCGATCGGTTCTGCCGAGTCTGGGCTCACGTCTCCTCTGCGCGCCTTTGCTCCCCACTCCGCAGATCCGGAGGCTTCTGGAGACCGTGGGTTGACGCACGAGGAAAGCAGGAGGAGGAGGCCCCGCACCACGCCGAGGAGGTGGTGAGTGAGCCGCGCGTGGTTGGCCGCGCCTCCGAGGGGCGCAGATGGTTCTCCAGGGCTGGGAACGCCGGCCCGAGGGAGACACGCGCCCGGCCAGCCCCTCGCTTAAGATCGCGCCTGCTGGTGGTCCTGCGGTGGTCCTACCCGTGGTCCTGTTGGTGCTGATGAGGCGAGAGCCATTGCGACACGGGGATCGGGCCAAAAGCGAGGCTGCAGAGAGCCCCTGGGGTCACATTCCCTGTGGGCGCGAGGAAGGCTTGGTCCCGCGAGTTTCCAGGTTCTAGAAAAAGGTGAGTGATAACTATGATTCGTCTCCTTACGTCTCCAGATGCCCGGGATGACCGAAGCCTCTGGAAAGCTTTCGCGATACAGGCACCCAGTCAGGTGAGTGACAGGCCAAACCTAAGGTCTCCTGCTGCTCCAGCCCCTGGAAAGAGCCAGGGACTTTGCACGGCCCAGCTCAGCAGCTGGTCCTGCAGTTTTTCTATTGGAAAATCCTGAAGGTAGTATCTTCAAGGTTACTTTATCTTCCCAGTCCCAGAGGTCTTTTAACTCATCGAATTGAAAAATGTAGGCGCTCACACTCTCTTAGAAGAACTGCTAATCAGCGCATACTCGGTAAGAGGCTTAAGGAATATTGTATAAATAGGGAAAGTGAACGATGATATAGTAAAAGTTGAACGTTGACATCTTGTGCCTGCAAAAGTTGTTTGCTTTTTAAGGTCAAGGGGTCCGAATGCAATTGACTTCACACCAGGCAAAGTGTATATATTCTTATTCTCCTGCAAACCAGAAGGAAGAAAGATGTTCACAGTTGCAGTTTCATAGCAAAGGGAGCAAAGGGAGCTTGCTACCTTAGGAGAAAACGGAAATGCGATGAAAATTCTAAAGGTCCCTAAGGGTCATAAAAGGGATCACAAATTGTAGGGCATAACAATGAGGAGCTAGTTTCCTATTCTAATCACAGGAAGTCAGCCTTTTTGAAGGATTCTCTGTAGCTTTTATTCGGGTAAAAGGTTAATTTTGCAGTTTGCCTGCTTCAGAGAGCTGTTAGGTGAAGAACTATATGTTTGTAACTCGCCAGCCTGGCTATGTGTTTATAAATAACATGTTGCTTAATTTCCTGCCATGTGCTAGCTCTAGTGCAGGACACAGGAAAAAAATAATCATGGCCCCCTGGGAAGTGTTGTGAGAGAGTTCAGTTGGGTCAGTGTTACACTTCAGGGCATGAAGTGGGGAGTGGGGAAGAGTCAGGAAAGTGTATTTATAGGTTGTGGTCTTCAAGTTAGCCAAATGTTTGTAGGTGGGGAAGGCAGGGCCAGAAGAAACAGCATAGGGAGAGAGATAACAGGGTCATGGAACAGCATGGCTCCTCTGGGAGCATCAGGTTGCTGGAATTTGGGGGTGTGAAGCTGTCTGTGGTCATTCCAGCAAGGAAACCAGAGGCCCGATCTTGTGCACCTTGGTGCAGAGTTTTGCCCTGATCCTGTAGGTAGTATTGGGGATTACTCAAAGGATTTTAACCAGAAGAGTAGTGTGATCAGATTTATATTTCAGAAAAATCACAAAGGAAATGGTATATACTAGTAGTCTTAGAACACCAACGTGAAATTGAAAGGCATTGCAGTTGTTCAGACAAGAATGATAAAGAGCCATTCTAAGGCTCTGGATGTGGGATCGGACTGGGTGAGTTTGGGGTATACCTAGATGACAGTAGATTTAGGCTTATAATGTACTGGATATGGTAGATGAAGAAGAGGTAAAAAGACAGAATGGTTCCCTAGTTTGTGGCTGATGACCAGGTTGAATGCTGTACTAACAGATTGGAAATTAGGCCTAAAACAGATTTGGGGAGCAAGATAATGGGTTCAATTTTCCATTTATGGTATTTAATGTGCCTATGGGGCATCCCAGTGGCAATGCCCATTAGGGAGCTGCCTATGTAATTCAGGGACTCATCATCAAGTTCTTAAGTGGAAAGGCAGACTTGGGAGCTTTGGTAAATGAACAGTTGGAGAAATCATGGCAGTGGGTCAGGTCATTCTGGTGAGTCCAAGAGGGGAGATGATCACTTGTGATAAAACCATGGGGGAAGGCCAATACCTAACCTGTATACAGAGAAAGAAGCTCCACAAAGGAGACAGAGAAGACTTATCCAGAAGGGGGAATTCAGGAATGTAGGGCGTGCCTGGAAGAAAAATGGTCAGTGGGAAATTCTGGGGAGGATATGGTAACAATTAAACAAGAGTCTTTGTGTTGAGCAATTCCAGTAACACATTAAAAAATCTGTTTGTTTCGTATACAAGCAATTCTTTCCTATTCTGAACTACTGTAGAATTATGTTTGCACTTCTCTTGTTTATTTTACTTTAAAATTTCTATCTTGAGCAGTATTATGTGCTTCTAATTCTTTTTACTCAATTGTCAACTTCTTGAGGGTAGGGATTGTGATTTATTCTTCTTTTAATTATGAATTATATCCGGCATAAGAAAGCACTGAAATATTTATTGAATGACTGCATTATTAATGGTTACTAATTTGACACCAAAATTGTAAACTATTTTTTACCACATTGCTAAAAACAGTTATAAACTACATTGCCTAATTTTTTTTGCCTTCTAAAATGGAGTATACTGAGCATAATGTACCATCTCTTTGTTAGAATCACTCTATTATATGAGCTCATGGGGCTATTTACACTGAAATGACTACACTGTTGTTGGACATTCAGCCTTATCTCTACTCTTTTCTTTTCCTTGGATGAAAAATAATAGATCAGATGACAAGTGTAGTATTTTTCAAAAATTTGAAATTCTGAGGTAAACATGTTTACATTCGAATTATTTATATGAAACCAGTGTCATTCTAATTCTCAATATGGTGTCCCAAATTTGATTGGATGGTGAAAGGGAAGGGAGATGGGATTAAGATTGGGCTCAGAGGTAACCTTGCTGTACCTCAAGTTGTGAGCGCATACGCAAACTTTTAAAAATAGTGCTTTTTGTACTTTTCTAAACTTACATTGGCTACATCTGTAAGAGTTAAATGTGTGAGCTTTAAGCAAGGTCTTGGTAATTTCTGCCTCTGTGTAAGGGCATAACATTTTATTGTTTTTATGAAGCTGTCAGAATTTCTAATGTAATGGTAGGATTCTTTTTTTTCCCTAAGAAATTTCGAAATTGGAAGGTAAGCCTGTTTTTTTAAAGAATAAATATATCTATAATGCCTGAAGTAAGCTAAATATTGATCTTAGGTTTACACAGGGTTCAGTGTGAATTTGTTTGACTCAATTTACAACTTGGATAAAGATTTAAAATAATCAACCAGTTAGTGATACTTTGGCAAGTAGACTCCATGAAAGCTGTGATAGTAGCATTTTAAACCTATATCTTAAGACTGTGTCTAAGTGCATAAATCAATTGTTAAAAATACATGGAGTTCTTGACTTTGAACATTTCATGAGTAGAAGGATTCTAAATATAAAAAAGATAAAGTGTATTATGTTGTCTGCTTTTTTCAGACTATTTTGGCCAAAATCAAAGTGTTATGATTACTTATATCAAGAAGCAGAAGCTCTTCTGAAAACTTTTCCAATTCAAGCCACAATTTCATTTTATGAAGATTCTGATAGTGAAGATGAAATTGAGGAACTGGTCTGTGAAAATTAATCTGATTAGTTACTTTTGATGATATTAAACATTTGTAGGATTTAAATTTAGTGTGCAAATATATCATAATTCTTTAAATTTATTTATTTGTATGTAAATTATTAATAAAATGAATATTTTGTAAGTACTATAGTAGTTGGGCCTTTTTTAAAAATCCCTACACTGTTATTCAATGCTGGAATTTAAAAGTAGATGCCATTTACAAATATCTTGATTGTACTGTAAACATTGGGAGCTTACAAAAGATAATTTTGATCTCAAACTATGAAGTTTATCTCTAGTAATAATTTTGCAAATATTTAATTATACTTTTGCATAGAATGACAATATTTTCAAACTGAATCTTGTAACATCTGCTATTTCCTATCGATTTCCATTGGATATTGTAGTTACAGGTGAATATTATTTGATAATGAAGAAAATCACCTTATGTCCCAATTACACATTATTATTATGTATTTGCTAGCAGATGGTGAAAAACACTTTAAATCATTGTCTGTAATTGAGAATGGGAATTAGTGTCAGGACTATTAAATTTTAGGCATTTTTAATGAATGATGAGTCAAGTAATTCTCTCTTTAATACTCTTCTGCTGTCCTTAAATCCAGTAATAAAATAGCATGGGTGTTCAATACTTATGGCAGTACATTGAGGAATCCCTAGAATTAAAATGTCTAAATGGGCATTACTTACATGGAGTCTAAAAAGGGCAGCCAAAAGGTCAGAGTTTGATAGTGTTTTTTCCACTTTCTCTCCAAGGGGGAATTTGGGCAGATATGAAACATTCTCCAACAACATCACCTTCCTTTGCTCTAGTTTTCTGCTCTGATATTCTCATGAAAGCATTTTCTTATGGAAAGAGAAATAAATTCTCAGTGATTGGTGTTTTAAAGTAGATTTATAGAAGAATACAACTCTTTTAATGTGAGAGAAAAAGAGTACTTTGCAAGGTAAAGGTAACAATAAACTATGGTAATGAATGAAGTTCCTTTTAGCTCAAATACAATTTTTTTCACAATAAACATTTCAATTGCAAATAAAGAATGTTTCTGCAATATTTCAGAACAATAATAGGCAGAGGTGAAGGTCTGAGATGGTTACCTAGCTAAGAAATGCCTCTTACTTGAATGGCTACTTATATTTCCTCATTTTCCTGTTTAATTGAAAAAAGTGACAGACATTAATTTACAGACACTTTAAGGACAAGGCAATTGAAATAGGGCAAGTTCAAACCATAGTTCAGACTCAGGAAAATTAAGTAATGGAATGAGGCTGTGGAGAGTTATTTAGAACTATATTTCTTCTGAAAACTTTCTCCCTTCACTGCATTCTGTTCTCAGATGTGTGTGTTCCCCAAGGAAAATACTCATCAGGTCTCCAATCTGAAACCTTGAGACTTAGAGACTGTTGTTTACCTGCATGGTATTTGTGCTTCTCATCGATATGTTGGAATAGTATGAAGAACCATTGCCATTTATTGAGTGCCTTCTTTTATTTTTTTCTTTTTGATTAAGGTATTACATATGTGTCCTTGTTTACCTGCATGGTATTTGTGCTTCTCATCGATATGTTGGAATAGTATGAAGAACCACTGCCATTTATTGAGTGCCTTCTTTTATTTTTTTATTTTTGATTACGGTATTACATATGTGTCCTTATCCATATGATGTATCTCAAAATCACCACTCTGAATGAAAAAAACTGGATGCCATAAAAGAGTGCATATTTATATGATACCATGTATACAGAATTCAAGAAAATACAAATTAATTTATATACCCAAGGATATGTTTGAGTGCCTTCTTTTAACCAGGCACTGTTTTATGTAGTTTACATCATCTTATTTAATCCTTACTAAAACATAAATTCATTATGCAGATGGGAAAATCAGGCTTTGAGATACTAAAGTACCTTGCATAACCTGACTCTTAAATACTGCAATTGGGGGTGGGCTGCATCAGTATACAATTCCTTGTATCTTTCAGGGAAGGCAGGAAGTTAGATGAAGAGGGAAAACTCATGAGCAGGCGAATGGAGCAGAAGACTTTACTAACGTCTTTGACTCATAATGTCAGCCATTAGCGGGGGTTCTTAAAGGTGAAGTTTTCTCTTCACCTCACAGGAGTGGCTGTTTGCATTTGACACCTTGGTTTTTAAAGCTTCCCTTTCCTGTACAGCTTGGTGCCTTAGAGGAGAGAGTTTCAGAGAAATCAGAATTCTAAGTTGTGTAATGGTAGTGCTTGTTTAACAACGGACAGACACTTGTGGGTGAGTCCGCAAGCATTTGGTCTTAGATGCGGTCAGCACCAAGGCTAAGGAACAGCTTCACTCTTATCTTACGCAGAATAGCTGTCACGTCCCCGCGGTGCTGAAGTTCAGGCAGAACTAACGGAGCATGCGTACTTTCCCCTAGTTCCGCGTCGCCTCCCCAGCTCCCTGTCCGTCACGTTGGCCCCGCCCTACGCGACTCGACGTGCTGCGTCATGGCGCGCCTCACCCCGGGCGACCCCGGAAGTGGGTCG